AAAAAAAAAAAAAAAAAAAAAAAGATTATTTAAATCAAATGTTCGATCAGCAAATGTCTGATAAGAATTTCTGGATACCTCTAGACAGGTAAAGCTGAAAGGATTATTGAAACAAATTTTTTAGCTCTTAATACAGACGATAAGGATAATAATGGTTATATCGTCGAAAGCAGTCGTTCGATCAAAGCTGAGAGCATTTTACAGTTCTTCAACTTTAATAACAATTCTTATACTCGTTTCACTGCTCAATACTGTCCCTGTAGACAGCAGAAGTTTTGAAGCACCGATTGTTCATCATTTTTTTTCAATAAAAGATTCAAGAAAAATTAATGATGTAGACAAACTGTTTCGTCAGGTATGCAATTTTTTTAATCTTTTCTCACCACCTTAATTATATTTTTATACAACGTAATTTTTATTTGCATTAATTAATTTTCTACAATTAACAAGAAGTAATTCAGGTTGATTCAAATGAAAAGAAGAGAAAAGTGCACAGAAAAATTTTGATGTTAAACTATAGAGTAAGCCAACAAAGGATAACTTTAAAAAGAAATGAGAGAAAAAAATTGTCAGAGAATTATTTTATGATAAAAAAAAAAAGAAAAGATCTTTTTTTTTTGTAAATTTTTTTTTGAATTAAATTTTACTGCTCCACAGTCATATTGCAAACCGTTTAGTTTTTGTCGACGTGTTTTAAAACACAGCAGTTCTACCGTCAATTTTTCTGTTTTTCTTTTCCTGCCGCTTCTGTTTCCGGTTCATCTGCTTATTTTGGTGTAATAAGAAACCAGAACAAAAAATTTAAAACATTACTATTATTAGAGTCAAAAAAAGTCGATTTAGGTATAAGAAATTAGTTGACCAGTATTTTGTGCTAACATCACTGTAGTGACCGATCAATTAAGGGTTCTCCAATTTCTGTATCTATTTGATTAGGCTCGTCTTCTATCAAAACAACAGTAACACCACATTTGATATGTTACATATTCGAACTTTTACATATTATCTGCTGAGATAAAAAAAGAAAAAAAAATTTTAATTAATTGTTCAGAAAAAAGATGGAAGTTGTTTATTGGAGAGAAACGAACAGCTACGAAAGATAGCGGAAACCGTATGTTTGATTTGTCACGAATTGTATTCAAACCTAAGACCAAATACCCGTGCCGAATGCCGGTTTGTTATCAATTCCATAATAATAAACATTGCACATTTTTTTTCTTTTTTTACAACAAAAATTTACTTTTTCTTTGTGTGTTTAGAATTATTTTCTGTGTTTAGAATTTTTTTTTGTGTTTATTTTCTGTGTTTAGAATTATTTGTTTGCTGAAACATTTTAAGGTATTATCAAATTTTGGGGTACAGTAATTGAAAATAGTAGTTCTGTATACTCCACAATAAGCATTGATACGACAGATGTATCACCTATGTGGGAGGTAGATTAACTTTTTCTTTTTTTTGCTTTTTAAAAGATTGGTGATTTTCTAAAAAGAGAATAACTATATAGTAGACTAAGATTTTTTTTAGCACAAAATTCTAAAACAAACCTACTAATCGTAATAGTAAAAAAAACAATTTTTTTTTGTAAATTTTGGAATTTATTTTTGGTCTTTTGATTGTAAAACAAATGTCAGAAACAAAAAAAAGACTAATCACTGAGTTCTAAGTAATGATTTTTTTTTTCTTAGGTTAAGGCAACAATGAAAAATGAATAAAAGTAGGAGAAGAAAAAAAAACATATAAAAAAAACTTGTTGAAACAGTTGTTTGTTGGTATAATTTTAGTTACCATTTTTTTGTTGCTTTCAAATGCTCATTCAATCTTTTCGTATTACTGATACAAAAAAATTACATAAATAAAGCTCACCTTGATTTTTTTTTTTTGTTTTTTTTCAGAGCAAATTGTTTTAACAACACCAAATTTCAAGAATGTCTGAACTTTTTTGAGACAGATACTCAACAGCAACAAACAACGACTGCACCAACTTCATTGTAAATATGTCAGAAGTAATGAAGAAAGAACAAAAACTCAGGTATTATATTTTTCTAATTTATTCTTTTTACTTATTTTGTTTTTTATTCTAATCTTTATCTATTCATCACTAAGCATTATTCTTTCTTTTTTTTTTTTTTGAACATTAATATGCAAAATTGAATTTTTAAATTAAATTTTTGTTCTTTTTCTTTTTTTATGCCCAAAAATTTTCGCTGAAAAATTTTTTTGCTGCTTGAAAACTGTTTATAAATTTACCTTATCTTTTTCATTTTTGTATAAAACTTTCAACTGATAAAGTATTCAAGAAAATTATTGACTGATCATAAGCGATTTTAATAATTTGTTTAATAGTTTTCTTTATTTTTTTTTTTTTTTGCTTTTCTAACACCAAATTTTTTACATCATAAACTGTTTTTTTGATTTTTGGTCTTCTTTTTTCGCAACATTTCTAAACTGTACTGATATCAGAGCTAACAGTTGTCAGTTCAATAAATGTATACCAACAACAACAACAACAAGAAAAAAAAAACTGTGACTGTTTTTTTATCAGTTGCAAAAAATACGTCTTTGTATACCTAAAAATATTACCAACCTTAAACAGCAGAAAAAGAACGATGTGATAGAATAAAATTTAGATTAAGCTGTATACTGAAAAAAAAAAAAAAACAAGTGCTGAAACGTAGTATATTTTTGAGCATATTACAGTGTATCAAACAATTTCCCTGATAAATGATTAATTTTTGTTTTTTGCTTTTTTTTTTTTGCAGTATACCACTTTTCTACAACAGATAACTGATTTAAACACATTTATACTGAATCTTAAGCATCATATTTTGAAGTCTTGTAATGCTAATGTCTTTTTTAGTTCAACTAATACCAAAGAAGTTCACCTTCTTAAGATAGTAGTAGCAAAATGTGCAAAAAAAAACCTGACTAAACAGACTGATAACTGTGAA